TTTTTTTTTTTTTTTTTTTTTTTTTTTTTTTTTTGCTTTTCCAACTATAATTCCTGGATCATAGAGGATGCAATCCAAAGTCCAAAAGCAGACATCATGAAGCTTGCGGAGAGAGAAGAGATGCGGCTGCCGCTGCTTTTCCACCAGCGAGTGGCCGAATTTCGTACCGGTGGCGCGCCAACTGTTTTTCCTTCGGACATTAGCTGAGTGGTCACTTCCTCCTGCAACATGATGGTTCTTGTGGCGGCTGCGTTGTCAGACTGCACCTGAACATCGCCGAAAAGAGCGTATCCCCCAATCTCCATGGAGGCTAGTGTATCATTGAGCGGTCCAGAGAATGGCGGGCTGATAAGCTCGTATATGGGAAGAGAGGTGTCGTTGAAGTTGTCGCCCGCGAGGCGAGGACAGGCATCAGAAGTGTTCAGCTCCACCCTGCTGCTGAGGAAGCATATGGCATCTGGTCGGGGCAGCCTTGTCGTTTTGCTGACAATTGGCGTCTGAGCAGGCCTGTAGAAGTCTCCGGTGACCACAAGAGCATAAGGTTGACCCGATCCTGACTTGGGGTCAGCATTCAGGGGGAACACCGTGATGGCGCTGATGGTCACGTTGTAGGTCCCGTCGACTATGGGGTCCGTGATGATGATTCTCTCGACATTGTTGAGGCGATCAGGTGCAGAGAGGCCGTTGGGGTAGGTGGTCTTGCCACTGGGACCGATGACTGCCAGGTCGAGGTCATGGAGGACAGGCGTAAGGGCCCCAAGGATGGCGGGAGGGTCCATCCAGACCAGAGTTGCACGCAAAGGAGCGCCACGGCGAAGGACAAAGGAGTAAGAATGAACCTCCCCGGGAAGAATCACAGCACCATCTACCCTTCCAGACTTCATGAACATAGCCTGAGGTCCTTGGTGGTTAGGGGGGGTTTTTATCGCGGGCAGCGGAGAGAGGAGAACCCTGTCGATGCGAACGAGACCCCAACCCTCAAGCTGGTTGGGGAAAGAGATTGTGGGCGGGAATTTCCTGAAGGAGTTACCCCTCTGAGAGTCTATGTAGCCGAACAACCCACGAGCTCCGTGGATAATACAAGCTTTGACCAGAGCGCCAGAAGGTTCGAAAGCGTCTCTAGCAACCGGGGCACCTGTGAGGTACCTTCCTTCCTGGAAGTACTGCCGGACGAGAGCGGCAACACCTCCTACAACGGCTGCTGCGGTTGATGTCCCTTGGGAGGAAGTCAGCCGGCATGAATCTGTCCCATTGGAAGAATGGGCAGACCACATGTGCATGCCCGGAGCGACGACATCAGGCTTGATTCTTCCGTCCAGAGTCGGCCCCTTACTAGAAAAGTGGCTCAGATACATTGGGTCCATGGCCCCCACAGTGAAGTTGTCCGGGCACTGGCAGAAGACCGGGGCGCAATAGGACGCACACAACTTCAAGCTGTCGTCTGTGTTCAGGGAGGCGCCCACAGCCAGGGCATTCTTCGACACCGCCGGCGAGGTCAACGTATAAAGTCCATTCTCCCCCTCGTTCCCAACTGACACGACAACAAGAAACTCCTCATTTCGAAAGGACACATCGTCTACATCCCTGGCATCCAGGTCATACATTTGTGTCGACAGACTCTTGTTCTGAATGCCGAAGGGCACCACGTGGATGCGGGCGCCGTTGTCGATGGAGTCCAGAAGCAGCCCTTTCAGTGTCTTCTTCTCCAGACCCGAGAGAGCGTCCGACGCATCGCCGATATCGTAAAACACCAGCTTGGAGTCCTTGGCAACACCAGAGAAGGTCACAGTGAGCGCACGCTCGTTGGAGGCCCCTCCGTTGGCTGGCAAGGGTGCACCGGCAATCGTTCCTGCGATGAAGGTCCCGTGTCCTGTCTGGGGTCCATCAGACGTATCGTACTCGTCGGCCACGCTGTTATACATCACAATCTTCCTTTGTAAGTCGTCGCGGACCGCAGTCGGACGCCCTCTGTCTGAGTCAGCAAAGAAACAGTGTGACGTGTCGATCCCCGTGTCGGAGAGCGCTATGGTCTGATTGTAACCTGTGATGTTGTATAAGTCGTACAGAGGAGTCAGATTGAATGGGGCTGGGTTCTGAATGACAGCCTTGGCCCAACGATTGTGGGGAAGGTAGGGAAGAAGGGGTAGGATGCGCAGCACCTCAGGGCGCCGGGAGATGTGTGAGACGACTGCTGGGAGAATCCTCTTAGGCACAGGGCCAACCAGAAGGACTTCGGCACTGAGAGCTCGAAAGGAGAAGGTCTTAGCAGGGATGTCCTTGAGCATGTCCAAGGCATACACCTCTGCTTCGGCTATGGTGGACGAAGCACCGGGGGAGAGTACCACCTTGATGGACAACGGCTCCGGCAGCAGGTTTCCATACCCATCTCCACTCGACCATGGAGTATACTGGTCCAAGGCTCTACCAAGCAAACCAGGCTCTATCTTGGCGAAGGCAGGGAGAGCGTCCACCGCCACAAACGCCTTTGTCTGATGACTTTTTAACGCATTGGCTACATCCATCGTCGTGTAGATGAAGAAATGACCGTATTGCCCGCAGCATCCTGCTACTGGCGTCAGAATAGGTGAACCTCCGGTCACTTCGCTCACAGCATAGTAGGCTATGTCGGTCATAGACTCCAGGTATCTTGCAAGAAATGTGGTGCTTCTCCCATTAAGCTGAACCTCCATGGCATTTGAGGAGGCAGAGAAGAGATCATCCACCTTGGTCTGTATCAGTCCCAACCCCTCTCTGGTTAATCCAGTGAAGGGTGCCCATCGGGTCCAACGAGTGCCAAGAATCAAGCTCCATTCGGTCGCTGGAATATGTTGTTCAACTGTACTGCCAATCAGCGGTTCCTCGGGGCCTGCTTGTTGGCCGAAGACCGCCGGTATGCTAACGGATAAGATCGCGATCAGCAGAAGATACATACCAAACCTAGTCCAGCCGATGGACCATGAACAAGCAGACCTCCTCTGAATTGACCCACCATTCACACACTCACACATTGTGTGATAATTCTCCCCCCCCTTCCACCTCTTCTTCTCCCCATGCCATCTTCCAGGACCACCTCCATTATAACCATTCTCCACTCGCTCTCCGAGTCTGCGTCCTCCTCCACTGCTCCCAAGACACATCTCCCCCTCTGTTGGCTGCAGTACCTGCCCTCTTATACCGTGCTCTGTCATTGACCCTCCTATTCTCTTTCTCCTCCTCCTCCTCCTCCTCCTCCTCCTCCTCTTCCTCCTCCTCCTCCTCCTCCTCCTCCTCCTCCTCCTTCTTCTTCTTCTTCTTCTTCTTCTTCTTCTTCTTCTTCTTCTTCTTCTTCTTTCTCTCCCTCCTCCCTAACCGAGCCTGAGCCCGATCTCACATCGAGTACTAATTGACATGCACTCCCACCAATCCCTTCCTTAATACCAGGCGAGCCACTCCCTGCAGCTCTCACCTATGATAGAGAACAACTGCCAAATTGAATTTAGATCTGCTGTTGAGGATGATTTTTTTGGCACAGTGAATCTTGTTGGGGTGGAAAATCTACCTTTTGAATGACATTGTACGGACAACTTAAAGTCTGCCGAATTGGAGGCTAGAGCCCTTTCCAGCTATGGCCAGAACGTCTGAGTTCTCTGTCACCCTCAGTCAGGCTGACAGCCTGACAGTGTTTTATCCCCCAAGCTACTTCAAGTTGATGTAAGTTGCACTTGCTTGGACGATGGCGCAGGTTTGCCTTCAATCTCCCAATCTCACTGCCTCCCCTTCTCCTCCTCCTCCTCCTCCTACTCCTACTCCTTCACATGAAGATGATGGATATTATGGAAAAGCAGCAGCTGTAACTCAGCCTGAAAAACGAAAGCCGGGGAGAGTCTGTCAGGACAGGAAGCAAGTTCAAGCAACACAAGGGAACAATGAATGAATGACCATCAGACTTGCAGAATCGCAGATTTCATCGGGCCTACCGTCTTCCCCCGAACACAACTTTAGTTTGGCTGGTATCTGGCCGGAAATATAGCTTGTATACATTCATTTTTAGGCTGCGTTATGTTCGGGGGACGACGGTAGCTCAGCTGCTACACCCGTCAGCTGTTGAAATACAGACCTGAGTTCGAATCCAGAAGCTGATGGAACTAGATGAATGAAATAAATTTATTAAAAAACTAATTCTGAGGTTAAATTACCAGGAGCCCGTCAGTTTGACGACGATGATATTTCAAGGCTGTCTCCCTCTCAAAAAAAAAAAAAAAAAAAAAAAAAGAAAAAGGTAAGAGAGTTGTTTCAAAAGATATTATGTATGATTTTTTAATGGCAAATGGACTTCTCTGGAACAGCAAGGAGCAGTGGAATTGGGAAAAATGGGAAAAAGAAAGAACTGGAGGGAGTGGGGGAGTAGGAGAGTGGGTGAGTGTGAGAGGGAGGGGGAGGTTAGACTGAGGAGAGGAAGCAGAATGGGGGGGAGGGCGTGGCGGGGAGTGTGAGCGGGGGGGGTAGTAGCGGAAAAAAACAGCAATTTCAGTTGAAGCTTGAACTGACGTTCCCCCCCCTCCCTCACCACCCGAGATTGCGATCTCTGCTTACTTCGAATGATTTTTTAGACTACACCTTTGTTAAAAAAAAAAAAAAAAAAAGGACGATTTCATTGGTTTGCATGCCTTCGTCAACCGGCCTTTTTTTTTTTTTTTGAGAAAAGAAGAATCTTTATAAAAGCCTGTTTACCACCATAAAAAGTGAAGGCCAGCCTTTTTTCGAAGTTTTTCTTTATTATAATTTATAAATTATAATGATTATTGTTATTAATTAATACTTGTTATTATGGCTTCAATCTATTGATCGGGAGTGGGTGGCTGAAAGGGAGGGAGGTGGGAAGTTGGACTGAGGAGAGAAAACTTTAAGCAGAGCGGAGGGTCATTTAGAGAAACGGAGGGTCATTTAGACAAACGTGGTGTAGGGATGTTCTGTCCCCTGATGAGGCCTCGTACTAGCCGCAGGCTGAAATCCGGCGTAGCCACGGCTCTACCTTCTTCCCCCAAATACAACGTACGGTCATTATAGCTGTATTTGAGGATAACTTTCAGTCTACATACGGATATAATGACCCGTAGGGGCAGAAGTCCTGGCCCTGAACGATGATTGAAGGGGAAAAAAAAAAAAAAAAAAAAAAAAAGACCCGTACGTTTTATTCGGGGGAAGAAGGTAGTGAAGTTCTCACTCACTGTTCTTCCATTTATTCCATGATTCTTAGTAAACCTCCAGTACATCTTTTTTTTTTTTTTTTTTTTTTTTAAAAACTTTTTTTTTTTTTTTTTTCACTCCCCTTCAACCTCCAGTTCATCTTGAGAATCACGAATGAGCCACTCCTTTTTCAAAAAAAAAAAAAAAAAAAAAAAGTTCGGGAGGTCGGTACAGACTAGGGCCCGCCTTGGGGGGGGGCGGACATTGTTTTTTGTTCAGCGCCGGGCCTGGTCCCAATCCCAAGGCACGAGGCTTTCTTTCTATTTTCCACCCGTCCATTCCGAGGCCCATGCCCTGTCCTGAGCCTCCAAAAATTTAGGCAGGGTAGGGTCACCCTCAATTGCGATTCTTGGCGTGGCTGGGGCCATGTAGTGGTGGTTCGATGAAAGATAAGTTTTTTTTTTTTTTTTTTTTTAATATATATATATATATATAATTAACTTGCGTCTGTATTTCAACAGCTCATGGGTTTACCAACTGAGCTATGAGTCTCTCTTCTCCCTTCTCTTACAGTCCTCCTCCTTTTTTTTCCCTCTCTCTTCTATCTGCTCTATCGAGAAATGATTTTTAATTTTTTTTTTTTAATCTCTCTTTTTTTTTTCAAAGGGCGACGGCCTTGAGATATATCATCATAGAACTCACCGGCCCTCGGTAATTCAGAATTACTGTAGTATTTTACATGTCTGTATCTCGACAATTAAGGAGTGTACCGACTGAGCTAGGCCAGTTGGTCAAGGTTTGACTGCTGTCTGTTTTTTTTTTTTTGTTTTTTTTTTTTTTTAAGTAAACTATATTCTTCTCTCATCTATCTCATCTTCTTCGTACGACGCATCTACCTTCCCCCACGAATACAACGTACGGTCATTCTTGCTCTATTTGGGGAATTTTGGGGTACTATCTTTCAGTCTAAATACAGCTATAATGACCCTACGCTGTATTCGGGGGAAGAAGGTAGCTCATCCTCTCAGTAGTCTATTTATAGTACAGGGGAACACCAACCCCTACGACAGGATATGATGGCTTAGTACGCTCGTATCCCTCTTGAGTGAATCTGAGCAGTAAATGTGGCAGTGTGCATGCGTCACGTTCATCCTCACTGACTTTCCTTTTAGAGAAAGAAGACAATCGTTCAAGTCCTTGTCAGAGCAGAGGGTATATTAATAATATTATCTTTTCTACTCAGACTATGGGCCAGGTAGCCTGCGATAGGTTTTGACGGCCGACTGGTCATGACAAGTCTTGGGGAAGTCTGCCTCTCACATATAATGGATCCGAAGCGATGTGAGTCACATCACTCATCATTTCAGAAAACCAAAAAGCATCTTGTCCAGATTCCAGAATAGGCCGGGCTTGCAAAAAAGGCAACAAGAAAAAGAGAGAGAGAAAAAAGAAAAGAAAAAATGAGAAAGAATAGACGGGAGTGAGGCCCGGTCGCCAATCCAGTCAATGCACTCACATTCTTGACGTAGACGGCTTTAAATTCTGGGTTTATTAAACTTTTGATTTCTTTTTTTCCCCTCGCCAGAATAGTACTCCCCAAGGGCTGAGTCTTTCTCAACACTTCTCAGACGAGGGCTACAGTGTGTGTGTGTGTGTGTGTGTGTGTGTGTGTGTGTGAGAGAGAGAGAGAGAGAGAGAGAGAGAGAGAGCGAGAGAGAGAGAG